GAAAAGATTAACCACCCTATTGATATTTTGGGGATGTGGTTATGTTTTGTTAGGTTGGTTTAGTAAAATAAGCTAGGATGGAGATATGATGCCAGTACAGTCCCCCCCCCCCACTCCAAAAGTATTGTTAACCATGGGTTTAATGTCATTTGAGGCTTTCTGAGCAGTTACTCGATTCATTTCTGAATGGTTGGTAGTTCTACATCTACCACCTTTGAACATGAATGAGTATATACATTGTCAAATGATACATACATTAATAATAGCTTAATGGATGTCTTGTTATATTGAAGTATCTGGTATGCCATACAAGAACAACTCCCTTCCCCAATCTCTAGCTGTTGCTGATATTGTGAGCAGGTGTACCAACTTAGGATGATGCAATGGGGATCATATCACAGCATTTTGTCTCGCATTTTGAATTGTAGCGACGGAAAATCTAACTATACTTTTTTGGGGGGACTATACCCGAACGTAAATGTTAGGTCCCCTTTCACTAATTAGTATGACCATTACAGATTTAAATCAGCCAGCAGATCCCCGGGTGTAAATGTTTAGTGTATTCCTACACACACTCTGTACACCCATATAAAATAGTTTGTTAACCAAACACAGGTCTTTAATATAAATGTTTTGGACATTAGCAATGGAAATTCTGACGTGCACTGTTGATGCAACGCGTCCTTTTCTAAGGTGAATTTAATGAAGGAAACAGAGAAATAGTCTTCGTATACAAACTGTAAATCTCCAATAACCTTTGAGCAAATGTTAAGTCTTTGTGCAATGGTTGTCCACTGTAGATTAGAAAACTTGTGCTGCTATATATAACATTCTGTCTTCCACTAAAATACGATTCTAATCATATACTGTACTCGCTCATTTAAAAAAAAAAAGTAAAATTTTAGTTTCGGTCACCTTGTACAAGTATTTGGATATCCAACCTAAACTAGCCGCAGAATTCATGAATCACAGGTATATCAAACCTAACCGGGGGCCTTTCTGGTGGGAATTAAATTCCTAAGATTCCCAGGATGACCGAAACTAAAATTACACTGAATACAACCATTCCTAGACCTACTAACATCCCAATATTGTTAATGCAGTGATTTTCTCTTTCTACTCGACAACAAAATAATCTCTGGTTCAAGCCGGTTACAATTTAGATACTCTTATCTACATTCATTATGGAATGGTGGTATCTTGATGGTGTGCTGGAATACGTGACAATGTGAGCGCAAGAAGACTGACGCTTGGCCTTGAATAAGTTCAGGGAGCACTGGCAGACGCAGAGGAACCCCCTTGGCCCCCATCACCAGCCAGCCCGAGTGGCAACGTCGCATTATCACGGCCAGCCTGAAGCATTCTTTATGGCGCTACAAGCATATTTGTGATCATAATAACTAAGACAAAGTCACTGTTACAGAGTATTTTATGTCTCCTCGGGTAATTTACTCGGTAAACTTATCGAATTTCCTTGAGCGCGGCCATTTACCCCTCAACGAATTGATGGGTCATGCAAACACTGCCACAACGGTGTTCCGGAACAGTGAAAATCTTTTGAGCCAAATATTACGCCAAACTACATTTTGAAGCACTCACTACATATGAGTACCATCTGAATAACTTACTTGATATTATAACATTAAATCTAACACCACTTCACTCGTTCAACAGTACGTATGCTGGTATTACACGACCACATCCCGCCCGTGGTAAGCCCACGACAATGGCGGGAACGACTGAGCATCGTTTTGCGCATAGCTCCGCCTTTCCTCGCAGCGTCCCGAACCAATACCTACACCACGACTTAAGCTTACCCAAAGGAATATTTTTAAGCAATATGCAACATTATAATATACCCTGATGTCAGATACGCAAGTAAATAAATAAATACGGTACCTATAATCTCCTTAGAAAAATTAAATTTATTTTTTTAATTATTAAAAAAATACGCGTACGAAACGGCGTTTGAAAAATATACTCGTATATAGTATATATACTATATAACTCATCAATTGTTGACTAATTTTTTTTCGTTCATATGATCTTCGTTTGTTAAAAAACATTCACTTTACATTCATTTAACTAAAATATTTAGGTTGTGAGCTCAATAAATATCAAGTTCAGGAAAAGACTTAGCATATACGACACAAAGAAATATTCTAGAGTAGAATGATACTAATTACTGTACTATGGTACATCCCTAGTTATCTGATGCCAACAAGAAATATTATTTTTTTACATACAACAGCTCTCGACGAACTGAACACTTTCGTTTCACAAAAACGAACTCTGGGAGGTGTACAAAAACCCTTATGAGTGCAATGATAATTAAATAAATTAAAGCCAGACTTGACAAGTACACATTACGAATGGATAAGAAAGATTAAAATGCATGACATGAAATGAAAGTTTATTTTTAAGGAGTTGTAGGTTAGAGGTGAAGGAAAGACAGGAGAAATTTGCCCAACAACTCAAGTGATACTCAGGTAACAATAGCATTGAAGTTGCTGAGCATAAACTTTTATACACAGTAGGTAATAGACAGACAGTAACTGCCGTTTGATTCAGATATACACTTATCAATGTTTACTATCACGGATTAATTTACCTGTTAACATTAAGTTGACTTAAAATAACTTTTCGGTCATACACAGAAATCGTGGGGTTTTTTTTTATTCTTCTTTCATGCTTTCACTAGAATATTTGCGTTTGGGTAAAACTGAGAATTCCTCATTACAACTTTCACCTCATAAACGACATGGATATCGGCGTAGACAGCAACAAAAGTAAATTTGCTGATGGCACTAAAATAGGACGTATATTTAAATCTGACGAGGACTCCGCAAAACTACAGGAAGATCTAAACAAATTTTTCGAATGGTCTGAAAAATGGCAGATGAGATTCAATGTGGACAAATGTAAAGTACTCAGTATAGGAGATGTAAACAGGGAAACCAGATACCAGATGAACAACGATGTTATTGAGAAATCCGACTGCGAGAGATTTAGGAATAATGATAAGTAGGAATCTTAAGTCAAGTAAACAATGTGTATTTGCTCGAATCAAGGCTAATAAAGTACTTGGGTTCATACAAAGGAGTGTTAGTTACAAGACTAGCGAGGTCATCTTAAAACTATATCTTGCGCTTGTGAGACCTCACTTGGATTACGCAGTTCAAGTCTGGTCACCGTATTACAGAGGTACTCAAATTATCCAACCAGGAGCGAACTCGTAACAATGGTTTTAAATTAGACAAATTTAGATTTAGGCGTGAAATAGGTAAACATTGGTTTGGAAATAGGGTAGTGGACGACTGGAACAAGTTACCAAATATCATCATTAACTCGAATACGCTGGATAGCTTCAAACATAGGTTGGATGGATATATATATATGAGCAATAGGGGTTGGGTGTAAATAGGACTGCCCAGTATGGGCCAATAGCCCCGCTGCAGTTTCCTCCATTCTTATGTTCTTAACAGTAGCCCACCAAACACTTCCTCAAAAGCAGTTAGCTTTCTGGTTACTACACACAAGTGTTTACTTGACACTGCACATGTTGACTAAATACTGGTGTAAAGTGCTGGCTATAACACTAACGCCACATGCTCACCATTTGTACATGATTACAATAGTAGTAGCATAGAACGTTGACTTAAACAGGAGTTGGGACAATGTTCTTAAAAACTACTGTACTACTGTATTGTAATCATATACTAATGGTGAACATGTGGTGTTAGTGTTATAGAAAGCACTTTACACCAGTGTTTAGTCAACATGTGCAATGTCAAGCAAACACTAGTGTAGTAATCAGAATGTGAACTGCTTTTGAAGTATATACAAGTCACTTGCGAGGGAAACGTCATAGAAGGTGTCTTAGAATTTTTTAAATTTTTGATTGCAAAGATAAAACTCCTAAGAGTCCATGGTTGTGTGAAAGTAAAACAATACCCAAACGCATAGTACGCCACGTTATTACTCTTATCTTCATTTCCTCGTTTAGTAATGCGATGAATTTGAAAAATTACCCCGAATTGCATTATGTACACATTCAATTAACTTTTGGAAATTAATTAGGCCAAACAGGAAGTACCATACTGAGTAACGCGGATGCAACTGTCTCAAGTAATACAGCAGCACAATGTTGTAACATCAGATGATAACCTAAAGCATGTGTGGGGTACAAATGCGTTTCTCACGAGACACAAATATGGCAAAACCATAAGTGCACCAACACAAGTAGACTGGATTCCAAGTTAAGTCAGCTTTACGCTTGAGTGAACCCCCACAAGTTCTAGCCTAGTTTAGTTGGCGACAGGGACCAATGGCAGTTGAGTAAGTATTCATTTAATACGAAACATAAACATTACACCAAGTTCAGCCTGTGTGGAACTAATATTAATGACAAAAGGTTCACCCATGTTACATTTTTTTCACAGAACCTACACTGGTTTCGTACACGGATATGTAGCTAGAATATATATAAATTACGCAAAATATGAAATGAAATTCATACAGCATTTGCATTGCATTATAATTGTTTTTATTATGCTGAAAATGTTATGATTCCTCAACTGCATACATAATTATTGACAAACTTAGGCTCTTCCTGTAAGTTCAGTACACTTTTATATCTGTGGACGATTGCTGTACACCACAAAACGCCCAGCATAATGTTGTCAATGTAATTATTGGTCAACGCCTTACAGGGACAGTAACTCATAATTGGAACTTATATTATTGCAATCACATACTGTACAATACGTCTTTCACTGTACTGTACTTCTATGTCTTCCATGCTCAAAGGTTCTGACCTTCTAGTCTACAATCATAGTACTGTATAACAGATTCCTAGAGCTAGGGAGCCTAACCTAACCAAAGCAGAAGTTTTAGTAGGAAATTCGGATCAGATGACCAGTTAAGGCCATCCTATTAATCTGTAATAAGATTTTGTAGATAAAGAACCCGAGAGCTTTGATGTGATTCACAAGCCTTACTTATTAGTGCAGTATATTTTCATTCCCGTTGGCCAAGTGGTTCCTCTGGATCTTGGAGTATGTCTTTCCCGCATTACTCGAAGTAACTTTGGGAATCCGCTGCGACTGTTATCTTTCATCTAGGTCACACTATATCCACCTTTAAGTTTATGATACACGAGCAATCTCTAAAAACTGCAACACAAATAATCTTGGGGTAAGTAGGCACTACGTGCCAGTCACGCTAAATGGGGGGAGCCTGTGCGAACCTTCCTGCGTGCGCGTCAACACACTACTAACATTAAAACGGCGCGCGCGGCGGGTTTTAAGCACTCACTGCTAAAAGGTGTTCCACTGTATTACAATGTAACTGGCACCATAAATCACGTCAACTTACATTTGTTTTGTACATAATTCCTTCAACAAGCAATTGAAATGAAACTGGTGATTTACAAAACTATTTAAAAACAGTGAAGGTCAAGTCTAAATGAAGATGTGACGATTGCGAGGCCTCAACCCCTCCAGTGTTGGCTCCGCGAGGGTGTGTTACATTACGTATTTTAATAGGAAGGCAAAACAAACAGAATTTGGAAATACTGGACAAATTACAGTTATGATATGACTATTTTCATCATACACCATATCATTAAGTAAATGGAAAAACCTTTGCTTAAATATACTGTACTGTGTGCATAATACACACAGTACTGAAGGTTAGGGTATTATATAACAGCTTACGTATATGAAAAGCGGCCGATGACTACAGAGAGAAGTTTAAGAGTAACCATTTTGAGAATTATAATATTTGTTCTCTGTAGAGTTACCAATTGAGTTACAATTTTTTTTTTAATTTGCTTTATATATATTTCTTAATGAGATCGTCTGTAGAGTTCAAGGTTCTCTCGATCACCCACGCAAAAGAGGAAGTTCTCGATGGTTTACGATCACACGACTGTTTTGGACTTTTGGTGAAATAATGGGTGAGGCTGCCTGATACACAAAAACATAATATTTATTATCATTACATCAAGAAGGTGGTATAGCTCAGTGACAAGACCCACTAATGAAAGCATCAATGGTGTATACGGATGAAACATTACATAAGCACATTTCAGGGGAGGGGGAGGAAGGGACTGTTGCTACGTAACAACAGAGAACTAACAACTGCGTAGCTGGTGGTGGCGTGCTGGAGGGAGACGCCACCCTGATCTCACGTGAATACCAGAGCTTATGTAACAGGACAGCCACGGTTGCGTAATATCAAGCCCTTACTCTCACACCCTCACTGATTCCAAAATACACAAACCTCCCCCCCCCCGGATGCAAGTAACTGAGCAACCTGTTACATAACTTGTTACTCATTACGAAACACGGGAATTGAATAACAGGAATCATTTGTGCTCTAGATAAAAAAACAGAAGAAACGATCTCCTACACATTAGAACCCAGCTTATTTCACCTGATGATTAAATATCCAAAAGTTAACCTTATCTTCCCAGAAAGTGTTAGGGTGTTTAACCATCAGGTGGAATAATCTAAAGGCCTAAGCTGATCCCCGAATAATTATATCAAGATGAAACGGCGAACCACAACATTACATAACCATCAACATTGAATCGTTCACCATTTTTACGTTTTCGCATTTTCCTCTCCATTACCTAACGTCCAATACGCCTTTGTGCCTTAATTGTGTAATACGTATAGCAGAGTTATGTTGTCCTGCTCTTTTAATTGTTTTTTTTTCTGGCTGACCTAAATACGGTAGTGAAATGTAGCGAGTGGAAGCAAGGTACAAACAGTCTCTCTCCAGCAGCGCCACCAAAACACAAACCCTCCGGATACATGAACAAACACCCTCTCCCCAACCCTATCACTTATCCAAAAACAAACTAAGTTTACTATCAACAAATCGTGATCAGATCCAAGCCACACAACCAGGTATTGATACGCTTGATACTCTCGAGGGAAAGTGGTGTGTCTTTTACAAGCGTGGCAGGGAAGGAGTCGAATGCGCCACATTACTTAAGAGTCTTAGATTACGCATCATGATTCTCGTTCCGTCGTTAATCACTAAACACCGGGCTTGCATCACCTAAATGAGATTAAAATTGAAAGGTGACAAGCAACTGAAAACTACCTTGACTGGTCGCTAACTGCTTTAGATTGCTCATAAAAAATATCTCAAGTTTAATAATGTCAGTCAAGTCACGAAAGGCGGATTTGGGGTTAGCATCACCCCCAGTTGCCAAGATGGGGGTGGGTGGAGGAAGGTGATGGGGGAAGGAACGGTCGAGACACATAAGAACATAACATAAGAAATTAAGGAGTCTGCAATAGGCCGGTTGGCCTGTGCATGGCAGCTCCTGTCGAGAGTTACTACCACTCTCTATTATCCATGAATCTATCTAGCCTCCTTTTGAAACTTTCCAGCGTTCCAGCACTTCCTACAAAGTTGCTAAGCTTTTTCCACTCGTCCACCACCCTATTTGTGAACCAGTTTCTTCCTATCTCCCTCCTAAACTTATCCAACTTAAATCCGTTGCTCCGAGTCCTATCCTGCTCGGATATTATAAGAACTTTATCAATATCCCCTTTTTTTATTCCTTTCACCCACTTAAATACCTCTATCATATCTCCCCGCACTCTTCGTCTTTCTAGGGAATGCAGGTTTAGTTTCTTTAACCTATCCTGATATGGAAGGTTTCTAAGTCCTGGAATCATTTTTGTCATTCTTCGCTGCACCGACTCTAGTGAATTGATATCCATTCTATAATAGGGGCACCAGGACTGAACAGCATAATCGAGGTGCGGCCTGACTAGCTCAAGATATAGTTGCAATAAGACCTCTGCACTCTTATTACTTACACTTCTACATATAAAACCCAATACTCTGTCTTATTTCGAAAATTAACGCACTGTTTTCTAGGCCGTAGGTCCGGGCTTACAAGTACCCCTAGGTCTCTTTCACAAGTCGACTTCTCTAAGTTGATGTTGTTAAGGCTGTATATATTGACTGTGAGCAGCGTGAGCAGCGCTGCCTTCGAGTGTCGAAAATACACATTACACACACAATGAAATCTACAATAATCACTTCAATGCTTTTTTGTTTCGTTTTTAACTAGCAAACAAACTAATACTACTCTTGTGATGCTTCATAAATAATACTCCAATTTTCCACTTAAAATATTAATATATTTAGACAGTACTTCAAGGAAGCTCAATGGGGTTGTCAAAGCAACAGTTAAATTCACTCGCTACCTGCAACAAGATAGTGGTCGAAATACTCGTACATTTTTACTGGTTGCCTTTATTCAACCGAATCACCTGAAGATTAGCTCTCCCCTCTCCCCGCTTATTTCATCTATGGGAGCAATGTTGTTTTGTTAGGTTAGTCTAGCGATAAAATAAGTTGGTGATATAGGCTTGGGGGGGGGGGGACCCATTTTCAGGTGATCCATTCAACCCAATGCAAGCTTTTCTTAGTGATAGATATTTTTTTTCAAAAGTGGGATAAATTTTTTCTTCCAAATTTGGTTTATCGCAGGTAATCCACCATTCCTCGATCATCCTTGCATCAACAGTGAAATATTACGTAACTAGGAAGTACCCCAAACATAAACCTCTCCTGCCAGAAGCATCATACCATGGTTCACTCAGTTGCCATTCACCGCCACAAAAATATACCTTCTCTGATCCGCCACCCCATATCCTACCACTTCAACTACCCACTCGTAAGCTATTCACCCAACAAACTAGGCACATATATGCTATCTTTTTCTTAAATCATAAAACGACCATTCTCCATACCTGGCTTAGTAAAGGTTATAAGACTATAATCAGAAGAAATGGTTCACTTCAAAAACACCATGGCTGGAAATTTAATGTTTTCAAGCCTAGGTTCATTATGCAGGATGACAGGAGACAAAGTTTACATTTAATTACACCGTCTCGGATACCAAGGTGCCACGAGTATATTCCTCCAGTGCAGCAGCTAACTAGAGTACAATAGAGAAACAATCGAGCTCAGGTATATCTATTAAATAGGATCACCTGAATAATAACCCTCCCCCACCAACTTATGGGAAACTTTATTATGAAGAAGCTGTAACAAGTTTAACAGCCCATACTAGGCAACCCTGTTCTCAACCAGCACCGTATCACTCAATATACTGTACACTATCTGTTCAACCTATATTTAAAGTGTCATGGGGATTTCGTATTAATGATGGTGTTTGGTAACTCGTTTCAACTGATGATTAAACATTCTAAAACACTACCCGGGGAGGTTGGGTTAGGTTAGGAAGGTTAATCTTAAGGTGAAATATACTAGGGGGGCTAATCTTCAAGTGACCCGTTAAAGGCAATGACTTCTATTAGTTATTCCTTGGTGATAATAGAATTAACATACTATATACGACAACAATATACAATACATAAGGTTAGTGGGTAACTACAGACTATTAAAACCTACACGATGTCGCGCAATGTTTCTTAATGCAACTAGAGACATTTGAGTCCATTATAAGATGCCATTAAGATCAGACTAAAACAAAGTGTAGAAAACCAGGTAAGCACGAAGGGAGTGCTTGGATGAGTCACCTGTGTATTGGCGCCCCAATGTCGCCGCCACTCTTGGATAACCACCCACCTCGCTCCGCTCTCTCTCACATTTCCACCACATACTTCAGAGCTCGTCGCCCCCTCCCTCACCCCCAGGTTGCACTAAGCATTGTTCTCCGAAATTGTTCAGAGGAATAGTATGACCTCTTTCCCTAATATAAATACATATTCTATGCTACTGTATATTGGCAAATGATTCGTGTACTATACTTTGTCTTAAGTTCTGTGACATATACCAAATAATGTATTGTTTTGATTGTTAAAATAAAATAAAATAAACAAAGTATATTAATTTTTACACTTCACAAGTATAGTGAACCATAACCCGACAAGCCCAACGCCATCATGTCTAACCTAGAGGGGTTCCCGGGGTCCTTGGTGAGCACCAAGCCTAAATTAGCACCAGCCGTCCCTCTTAAAACCTGTCAGTAGGCACCTAAACTTCCTGAGGCGTTTTGAAAATTCCTTTAAAATTTTCTCCATCTCCGGCTGCGACGAGAGAAAATATACAAGGGACTGTAATGATCTTAGTCAAGTTAAGTTTAATATTGTGCCAGTCCCCCCCCCCCCTTAGCCTTGAGTTGGGGTACAGTCACACACTGCGTTACTTACCACAGCACTTCATGTGTGTGGGAGCCTCACTCTCACGCTATTATAGTACTCTC